CATTCCTGGCACTGTGATGGAGGTGAGTCTCATTTCCACCTGGAGGTGGAGATAGACTTTGGGTCAAATCCCAGCTCAGCAAGAATTAATTTTATTTGGACTAGACATTTAAACTCTGACCCAGTGAGCTCATCCTTCACCTAACAAACTCCTTCCCAATCTCAGTGGGCCATATCTTGGCCAATTCACTGGCATTCTCAAAAGATTTTTTCTGATTTGCCCTTGGAAAGCCTGATTAGAATTCACAGAAGTGGAGATCTGGGATAAGTCCTTTCAAAGGCCCAGGCCTTCATTACTGTAAATTGATCAATCTCAAATCAGGTTAATTACTTTCTAAACTCACATTGGTTCTTGTGGAAATCAAAGAATTAATTTAATTTTGTTGATCCAGTTTAGACTCCCAGGATCCACATTTTGCATTACAGGGGCAGATTGACTCACCTAAGTTACTTCCACTAAATATACTGGTGGTTATCCTGAGTAAAGATAATAATTCAATCTCTGAAACCTGGGATGGGTCTATATCAGGGAACTTATAATCCTGCTACATAGCATTTAATGTGTAAGGAACTAAGAATTCCTTGTCCATAGAATGGCACAACCAGAAGTCAAAACATCTGTTTTACCAGATGTACCCTAGTGCTGTTTGAAATTTGCAACAGCTAATAAAATTCCACAAACTCACTTGTCCTCAACCCCTTGTAACACTTCCTTTATTTCAAATAACAATCTAATTTCATTTGAAAATGTATGCTCCCTGTTTCAATAGGTGGCTTGTAAAGAGAACATCACTGCTGTATATGTTCATCATCTTATTGTTACCATTCAAAATCTTTAAAATCTTAATCTAGTGAAGAAAATATTTTTGTCACAAGTCTCTCTTCATTAGCTGTAATCCTTCAAATTTTGGTAACGTCCTCATGACATTACATTGTACCTTTCCAAGTGTTTTTATATATCCTTAGTGTAACAGGGTAAATTACTACAGATGACTGTCTACCAAGGCAAGATCTACCCATTCATAGTTTTGCATTTGGCAGAGCAAACTCTTATTCGTAGTCTGTCTGAATCAAGCTTCAAGGCCTTCTACCTTTCACCAAACGATGAACCTACACAATTGCATCTGGTATTCTCCAATAACCCAGAATGTCGAAACTCCTGTATTTCTCTACATTTACTGAGGCATTGGGCAGGTGAAAGTACTCACCAGTTTGCCAGCCATGTTGAATCAGTCTTAAGGCATAGTCAATCTGCATGGAAACCTAGGTGAATATCTGGTAATGAAAACTCAACCTAACACATCAATGATCTCTAATAATTAAGGTGGTAATAACAAAGGAAAGAAAATCAACATACAAAGCAATTAAAAATACTCTATTGGAGTCATAGTCATAGAATCATACAGCACAGAAACAGGCCCTTCAGCCAAACTTGTCCATGCCAACTAGTTTCCTAAACTGAACTAGTCCCATTTGCCTGTGCTTGGCCCATAGCCGTCTACACCTTTCCTGTCCATGTACCTTCCAAGTGTCTTTTAAATATTATAACTGTACTCACCTCTACCACTTCTGCTGGCAGCTTGTTCCATAATACGCACAACCCTCTGTGTGCAAAAGCTGCCCATCAGGTCCTTTTCAAATCTTTCCACACTCACCTTGAACCTACATCCTCTAGATTTGGAACCGCCTACCCTCGGAAAAAGATCTTGGCTATTCACCTTATCTCTGCCTCATATGATTTTATAAACCTCTAAAAAGTCACCTCTCAGTCTATGCTACAGGGAAAAACATCCCAGCCTATCCAGCCTTTCCTTACAACTCAAAACCTCCAGCGTCTCTAAAATCCTTGTAAATCTTTTTTTAGCACCTTTTCCAGTTTAATAACAACCTTCCTATAGTAAGACAACCAGAGTTGTATGCTGTACTTCAAATATGGCCGTACCAGTGTCTTGTACAACTGTAACGTGATGATCCAACTCCTGTACTCAACGCTCTGACTGATGAAGGCAAGCATGCCAAATGCCTTCTTCACCAACTTGTCTACCTGTGATGCCATTTTCAAGAAACTAAGTACCTGTACCCCTAAGTCTCGCAGTTTGATAACTCTCCCCAGGGCCTCACCATTAATTGTATAAATCTTGCCCTGGCTTGTCTTAACAAAATGCAACACCTCACATTTATCTAAATTTTACTCCATCTGCCATTTCTCAGCCATTAGCCCACTTGATCGAGATTTTCATAGATAGCCTTCTTCACTCTACTATACCACCAATTTTGGCATCATTCGCAAACTTACTAACTATGCCTCCTAAACTCTCATCCAAATTGTTTATATAAATGACAAACAACAATAGACCCAGCACTGATCCTTGCAGCACAACGTTGGTCACAGGCCACCAGTCTGAACACAATATTAAAATCTGCTGCTTATGTTAGTAAAATGCCTAACTCAGTCAGATATTGTATCACAAAATTATACAGTCCCGCAAAAATCTCCAAAATGCTAGAATATGCTTAAAATCGGTCTTATATATTACTTAACTGCATAACTCAGTGAGAAAAGCAACTTTACTCAAAAAAAAAATCAATACCTCTAACAACCTCTCCAAAATGCTGACAAATTCTTAAAATCTGCTGGATATGATACTAAAATGTATACTGAAATACCTCCACGGAGGCCGGTATCCCATCACCAAGTCATCCTTTATTTACACGTGGAAAGTCCTTGACACTGATGTTCTTATCTATCAACCAGGGCCCTGCGATTGGATCAGATTAACAGCCCTAATCAGGGAACTCATGTTCTATGAGGTTGACATGGTTGACCTTGTTACAATCATTACATGCCTTCCCCCTTTGAGTTTGAGGACAAATGCCAGTTCTTTTTTTTATAGCTCCTCCTCAGGCATTTCAGCACCAGGTCAGCTTCCTCTGACTCTGCCTCTGATACGTGTTCTGCACAGTAACTCACTGCTTCCACCTGGACAGTCTCAGAAGAAATTCATTCCCTTCTTCAGGCGTCGAAGCAGCAACATCTCAGATTCTGAGGTCACTTCAATACTTGACAGAGGGAAAACCCATGGGTTCCAGTAGCCTTTCTGACTGTTCCGAGGAGACGGGCATGGTTTTTTTTTTTATTCATTCACAGGATGAGGGTATTGCTGGCTAGGCAGCATTTACTGCCCATCCCTAATTGCCCAGGGGCAGTTAAGAGTCAACCAAATTGCTGTGGGTCTGGAGTCACATGTAGGCCAGACCAGATTAGGATGGCAGTTTCCTTCCCTGAAGGACATTAGTGAACCAGATGGTTTTTTCCGACAATTGACAATGGATTCGTGGTCATCATTAGATTCTTAATTCCAGACATTTATTGAATTCAAATTCCACCATCTTCCATGGTGGGATTCGAACCCAGGTCCTCAGAACCTTGTCTGGGTCTCTGGATTAACAGTCCAGCGATAATACCACTAGGCCATCACCTCCCCCAAGGATCTGGGGTAACCTTTCTGCGGGACAATTTGCTCCTACCTGTTTGTGAATTTGCAGCTTTCATATGGTCCATGTGCCATCTGTCTGAACTTTGTGTCACTGGGCCTAACATCACGTTGACAATGACACTTACCCATGCAGGACCGTACCCATGGTTCCTACATCAAACTTAGTTCCCTTAAGTAGACTCTCTCTCGTGATTAATGCAGCATTGTTTCTGGCATTGGCGTCCCCGATGCGATTTCACCCTCCCTCCCCAAGTCAAGGAAGATTGAATTTAACCTGGTGCAGAATCTTCTCCCTATTAACTACTCTGCTGGAGTTATGCTTGTGCTTGCATGAGGGTTTGTCCTATTATCAAATAGGAATCAGGATAGTTTGGTATCTAATGAAGTTGCAGCCTATTTTTAAAGCCCGCCTTCAAAGTTTGGACTACTGTTTCTGCCAGACCATTGGATGATGGATGGTATGGAGCTGTCCTTATATGTCAAATACCATTCAATTTTATGAAAGCTTAAATTCCCTGCTGGTAAACGATGGTACATTAATCAGTGACCAACACTTCTGCAGTCTGTGTATTACAAAAGATGCTTGTCTTTTTCTATCCTCATCCCATATTTGACAAATGAACTCTATGCAAGTCCAGCCTCTCTGAGTGGACACCCACAATGGCTAAGAACACTGAGTCCATGAAAAGTCCATAGCCAATGCGTAACCAAGTCCAGGGGTTACCTAGCCATTCCCACAAATGTGGGGGAGTTGCTGGCAGTAACTTCTGACCTTCTTGGCCTACTGCCCTACCAATGCAACTATGTCTGCATCCAAACCTGACCACCAGACATTACTTCTCACCAACATCTTCGTTATGGAAACCCCTGGATGACCCTGGTGGCGTTCAGCCAGGATCTGGGGTGACCTTTCCTCTGGACAATCACTCTTGCTCCCCATAATAATATGCTGTCCTCTATCACGATCTGTCTCTCTGGGTCCATAAAGGTTTCAGTTCTGGTTGTGACAGCCCTTTGGTTTCCCCCATCACTATTGTCGAATGTGTTCAAAACCTAAATGCTTTGTTTGATATTAGCTATCATACTTAAAGCAAGCAACCATGTTATTCAATGCCAAGTGCCTCTGATCTGAAGACTTGTCAAACTACAACTTTCCCTGGTCAAACAGTAATTGAATTTTGATTGACCAGAGTTTCAGTTTACTTAACAACTGCTTTTCTGACAGTATGTGGACATTAACTGTCAATGATACTTCATCCATTACACAGCACAGCACAGCTATTTTATCAAATAATACTGGATAATGCAATATTAGATTGGTTTATATCATAATTGGCAAATAAAGACAGCATAAATAACAACAGGTGGAAAAATAACCAAGTTTATTTACATATTTTAAGGGATGAACTGTATTTGTAGCAAGTGTAAAGCACAAATACAGTATAACAGAAAATTATAAATTGTGCAGAATAACAGTCAAAATAATTTAGTGAAATACCGTGCCACCACTATAATGTAGTAGTAATGGGAATAATGTGGCCACCATACATCCAACTGAAATTCAATTGTACAGTTTAACCACGTGCAAAATATTTGATTTTCTAAGGTGCAGTCAGCTGTGCTAATGGATTATTGTTCTTTAGCATCTAGTAGTTTCTGTTCAACTCTCAATCAAAATAATTTGAATGAAAATTAGAACAAATGTTAAAAACCTGAGTCATAAGAACAGATTGTATGGGCAAATGAGAGAGAGAATGTGAGAGATAAAATTATAGCACATTGCTTACAGGCTTCTGTTGGCCTTTTATATTATGAATATAAACATTAAAAATCAGATTAAATCAATACATATGAAAGAAAAACCAAAATTTAAGAAATCCTTAAATTCGTGAATGAAGCAGACTCAACGTTAAATTTGGGCAGTACAATGACAATAAAGGGTATTCTATTCTATTCTACCAATAGGAATGAATCTATGCTCCAGTTTCATGGCTCCAAGTACATTGATACTTTGAAGATGCTGGCATTACATATTGTCAAATAAATGGCGCTCATGCTAAGATTCTTACAAGGCTATGTCAATGATTTCCACATCTGGTTTCTCACACTTAATCCATTTATAACAGTGTGTTCAATTAGGAAAAGCTGAGCTCAGCTATTCACAACAGCCTTCTGTCAAAATTTCACTCCATCTTCAAAAATTGTCAAAATAAACTCCATCAATGCCATAAAAAAAGGCTCCATCTTTAGACTTTGCAGTTGGAGATGAGGTTAAGTGACAGAGAGAAATCAGGTGAGCTTATGACAGGAGATTGAAAATTTTTCATGAAATAGGTGTGTCAAAATACTTAATCAATTTTGCCAATTTGTTTTAATACATTTCTCAGTGATTCTTTACCAATTTCCTTATTTAAAATATGGCTGTTTTCACACAAACACAGAATTATTACAGAGATGAAGGCAACCATTCAGTCCATTGCGCTTTCTTGGATTCTTCAAATTTGATGCAGCATCTCACTGTCTTTTTGCTGTAACCCCTTTTTAATTTCCCTTTTCAATGCATCAAGTGATAATGCCTGTACAGCCAGGGAGTGCCTTCGAGGCCCCAAATACTTCCTGCACGAAAAGGTCTTTCAGGTCACTTTTGCTTCTTGTGCCAATCACTTTAAATTTGTGCCCTCTCATCGTTAATAATTGGAAACAATTTCTACATATTTACTCTGTCTAGACTGCTTTTGATATTGAATACAATTTTTGTAATGAATCATCCCTGTGCATAGTTCTGGGATCATTCTGCATGATTATACGAAGGTAAAGTGCTCTTTCAAATTGTTTTTGCTTTTTCTGGTGTCCTGCATATCCTTGTGCAGTGAAACAGCCTAGAGAGGAAACATGGATGATAAATCATTTACAGCCAGTGGCTATGTAAATTAATCACAAGTTACTTAAAAATATCTCAGTCAGATATTCTCTTACTTTTTCTGAATAGTGCTGTGTTCAAGAATCAGACCTGGACGGAGGAATTAAAAACTGATTCTTTGGGTACAAACATGTTTAGTGATTCTGTGCTACATTCCTGATTGTCTTATAATGATTGGAGCTGTACCTCAACGCTTGAGACATATCAAGGATTGTCATATGGAACAGGTAATTGCAGTAAAGGCAAAAAAGAATTATTAGCATTGAATGACAAACATGATCCAATTTAAAAAAGCAAAATGTGGTCCCAATTAGAAAATGCTCCTGATTAGAAGTATATAAAATTGTGCAACTCATGGATAGAGTGGATATTCAGTCTTTTTCCTAGGGTGAAAATGTAAAATATTATGGAGGATAGGTTTAAGGTGAGAGGGGAAATGTTTAAAGGAGATTGTTTTACAGGGGGTGGCAGATGCCTGGAACGCAGTGCCAGGGGAGGTGTTACAAGCAGAATTGTTAGCAAAGTTTAATAGGCATTTAACAGACACATGAACAGACAGGGAATAGAGGGTACAAGGTGTGGAGCTGGATGAACACAGCAGGCCAAGCAGCATCAGAGGTGCAGGAAAGCTGACGTTTCGGGCCTAGACCTTGTGTTCATCCAGCTCTACACCTTGTTATCTCAGATTCTCCAGCATCTGCAGTTACTACTATATCAGGGAATAGAGGGTTATGGGCCACATGCAGGCAGATGGGATTAGTTCAGAATATATCATGGATGGCACAAACATGGTGGGCTGAAGGGCTTGTTCCTGTATTGTCCTATATGTTCTAATTGTGCAAGATTACTAAGAAAATGTTTAAAGTGGATATTAGCAAAATATTGATTTGAAAATCTTAAATAGAAACAGAAAATTCACGAAATATCCAATTGCTTTGAAAATATGAGTCAATGGGCTTTTTTTCAGAACTGGAATTATGTTGGAGCTGTAACAGGCTTGAAACAAAGAAGCAGGAGAAGGGGGTAGGTGTGGAGAACAAAGAAGAAGTTTGTGTTCTGGTAGACGTCAGGAAAAAATACCTCTCTGCTCCTATGATGCTGCTTGGCCTGCTGTGTTCATCCAGCCCTGCGCCTTGTTGTCTCGGATTCTCCAGCATCTGCAGTTCCTACTATCTCTGACACAAGAGGTGATGTTACAAGACAAAAGGGCATGTCAATGGCACAAATAAAGAAACAAAAGGTGCACCTGGACACGCTGTAAAAGACAATTTTAGGACCATTATCAGAGCCTGCTTTGGGAAAAAAATGGAGCAAAATCCAACAATTTCAAATCACAGCCACTACTCCCATCTTTTAGACAGCAAATGATAATGGTTGTGCTCTTGCCACCCAGCTCCTCTAGAATGCAACTTATATTTCTTTATTGTTCCCGTTATCATTTCCTTTTGTCTGTTAGCCATGTAGTCATTTCAACATACCTATTTTCCAGCATATCACAAACCTTTTGTCATGTCCTTCCTGTTTCTTTCCCTTTTCTCTACCTCTGCACTTGCTTAAAATCCATCATTTCTGTGACACCTTGCACTTTGAATGATCATTGGCCTGAAACATTAACTGTTTCTCTTTCCTCAGTGAAACTGAATGGTTCACTGACCAAGAATTACTAGTCTGCAGGAGGCTTATGCATTTCTTTGCAATTTTTCTGGCATTTTTTCAGCTGTGTGTTATGTGGAAGATAATGCATTTACAAAACCACTTTCAACTTCACTTGTTTATACTGCACATTTATGTTAATTAGTAATGTTTGTCTCATTGCAACAAATCTCGCACAGAGACATTTATTATTCAATTGTATTAAATACAGCTTGTCAGTCATTGGCATCTGTACACTAGTCCAATTGGAAACAGTGTTTCACTGAAGAAAGGCTGGGGATTTTATCCAACTATGTATAATGTATTATTCAATAATAACCTAGTGGCAAAGTAACAAAGCAATTGTGCTTCAGAAAGGGCTAAATTTAAATAGTTGTTCTTTTGCTGTTTTTTTTCTGACCAAATAGGACAATGATTAAACTGACACTTTGTAATATAATATTACATTGCCATTCAATAAGAAGGATGTTAGATCACATGTCAAAACAAAATTAGCTAAACTTAAGAAATAGAAGACATTCATGTCTCAAATGAAGCTGTATGTTATCACCATTCAAACACTCAAACTGTACGGTCATTCATTCACTATTTCCTTGGAAGTGTTAATCCCAATGGTTAAAGCAAACATCTGTGTTAAATTAACACCCAAATGTGTTATGGACATCACAACACTGTTTCAGGCCCACTTACACATTTAAAGTAATTTCATCTAAAGAGTTAAATTTAGTGTTTTCATTGTGTTAGGTGATCACTTAATGAACCCTGGCATTCTTATTAGCACTTTTTAATTCTGGGCAAAATTCTGAGAGAAAATGTGATGTAAGCAAATATGTTTGAGACACCCCATTTACACGATATAATGTCTACAAAGTGAAGTCAAACAGAATTGCGGGCAACTGTACTTCCCTATCGAAGAGCTCAGTGTATTCTATGCTCGCTTTGAACAGAAAGTCAGTGAAACAATGTCACCTGTGCCAACAGCCTCACATGCACCTGTACCCATGGTCACAACTGTAGATGTTTGATCAGCTTTCTTGAGATTGAACCCAAGGAAAGCGACTAGCTTGAATGGAGGTCCTGGTCATACACACAGATCCTGTGTGGATCAGCTGGCGGAAGTATTCGCAGACATCTTTAACCTCTCCTTACTATTATCTGAAGTCCCCATCTGCTTCATGAAGACCATCATCATCCTAGTACCAAAGATTGCGGCACGGTGGCTCAGTGGTTAGCACTGGTGCCTCACAGCGCCAGGGACCCGGGTTCGATTCCACCCTCGGGTGACTGTCTGTGTGGAGTTTGCACATTCTCCCCGCATCTGCGTGGGTTTCCTCCGGGTGCTCCAGCTTCCTCCCACAGTCCAAAGATGTGCAGGTTAGGTGGATTGGCCATGCTAAATTGCCCGTAGTGTTCAGGGATGTGTAGATTAGGTGGGTTATAGGAGGACGGGTCTGGGTGGGATTCTCTGAGGGTTGGTGTGGGCTTGTTAGGCCGAAGGGTCTGTTCCCACACTGTAGGGATTCTTAAAAAAAAATGCAGTGTGCCTCAATGACTACTGCCCAGTGACTGTGATCACCATAATTATGAAGTGCTTCGAGAGATTAGTCACGACTCACATCAACTCCAACCTACCAAATTGCCTTGATCTTTTGCAATTCACCTATTGGTGCAACAGGTCCACAGCAGATGCCATCTCACTGGCCCTACACTCATCTCTGGAACATATGAACTTATGACTATAGTTCTGCCTTCGACACAATAATTCCAAACAAACTCACCTCTAAACTCCAAGACCCAAGTCTCAGCTGCCCCCCTCTGTAACTAGATCCTTCACTTCCCGACCCATTGACTGCAATCAGTAAGAATAGGTGGCAATACCTCCTCCACCATAATCCTTAACACCAGTGTTCCACAAGGCTGCGTACTCAGCATCCTGCTATACTTCTTACGCCCTAATGACTGTGTGGCCAAATTCCTCCTCAACTCCATTTAAAAGTTTGCTAATGACATCACTGTTGTAGGTTGGATCTCAAACAATGATGAGACAGAATACAGGAAAAACAGTGTTTAGTGGCATTATGTAAAGGCAACAATCTCTCCATCAATGTCAGCAAAATGAAGGAGCAGGTCATGGACTTCAGGAAGTGGAGTGGAGGCCATGCCTCTGACTGCATCAATGGTGCTGAAGTGAAGATGGTCAACAGTGTCAAATTCCAGGGAGTGATAATCACTAACATGTGTCCTGGTCCCCCCACTTCAGCGCGACGGTCAAGAAAGTTCAACAATATCTCTACTTCCTCAGGAAGCAAAGGAAATTTGGCATGTCCACAAGGACTCTTATCAATTTTTATAGATACACGATAGAAGGAATTCTATCTGGATGCATCACAATGTGGTTTGGCAACTGCTTTTCCCAAGACCATAAGAAACTACAGAGTCGTGAACACAGTCCAGTCCATTAAGCAAACCAGCTTTCCATCCATTGATTCCATCTACACTTTCTGCTGTCTTGGGAAATTAACCAACATAATCAAAGACCCCTCCCACCCCGGTTATATTCTCTTTCATCTGGCAGAAGATATAAAAGTTTGAATACACACACAAACACATTCAAGAACCGCTTCTTCCCTGCTGCTATCAGACTTCTGAATGGACGTCTCAAATACTAATTCTGATCTTTCTTTATACCTTCTGTGGCAATAACACTGTATTCTACACTCTGTTCTGCTACCCTAATGCACTTTGCATGATACAATCTGCCTGGACAGCACTCAAAACAATATTTTTTACTGCATCTCTGTACATGTAACAACAATAAAGCAATCACTTATTTGTCTAAAGTTCAATTTGCACCTAAGCAAATTGTAGCCATTTATCATACCATGTAATATAAGCATTCAGTGACTAATTTGAATGAAAATTATAAAATTTCCTTTGCAGTAAGTTTCATGTTTTAGATCAGGGTTGTATAGGAGGTGAATGACAGATTCTCCATGCTGCATGCACTGTCCCTTAGCCCGACAGTTAGCCTCTCACAGCCTCCACAGCAATCAAACTATTATTTGTAGTCAAGTAAAATTTCTGCAATATTCTGTGTACAGAGTATTTTTCTAGTATGCTTAATTGAGTGGCTTCTTGAAAAAGCAAAATTGTTACCTTTGGGAAATATGACTCCACTGCCCAAAGCTTAGTTAGAACACAAGTAGCTGGTGAGGGAAAGAAAAGAACTGGCATTGGTAGCTGCACCAATAAATTACTAAGGGGTCCAAAAGGACACCAGTCAAATAACTGGTTTTTTATATCTTCACCATTGCATTGTAGGTGAACATGGCAGTCAATCTGTGCACATCAAGATACAGCTTGGAACAATGGGCTAAACAATTACATTGTATTCTTGGAGGTTTCAAATGAAAGATTGATTTATGTGATGACACTAGGAGAATGCCTCTTTTTTTTGGAAAGTGCTGTGGGATATTCTACATTCATCAGACTAGGCATATGGCATCTCAGGAGGACCAAGCAGAAGGTCAAGTAAATAGGTATAAATGGGAGTCCTTTAATACTTATAGCATTCAGTATAGGCTAATCCATCCAACTTGGAAATCTTTGTCCATTTTCCAAAAATCTCCTGGAAGTAATTCTCCACTATATTCACCATACTTGGTATTCTAGTTAAACCTACAATAAGCTTCTCACCACAAATCTATATTTTTTATTCATTCATGGGATGGGGGTGTTGCTGGCTAGGCCAGCATTTATTGCCCATCCCCAATTGCTCAGGGGGAAGTTAAGAGTCAACCACATTGTTGTGGGTCTGGAGTGATGTGTAGGCCAGACCAGGTAAAGATGGCAGTTTCCCTCCCTAAAGCACATTAATGAACCAGATGGGTTTTTCCGACAATCAACATTGGATTCATGATCATCATTGGACTCTCAATTCCATACTTGTTTTAAATTGAATTCAAATTCCACCATCTGCCACAGCAGGATTCGAGCCCAGGTACCCAAAACCTTACTTGGGTCTCAGGATAAATAGTTCAGCAATAGGTGAACATGGCAGTCAATCTGCACACAGCAAGATACAGCATGGAACAATGGGCTAAACAATTACATTGTATTCTTGGAGGTTAGGCTGTTGCCTCCCCATTAATTCCATTAGCAACACAGTCTACTTCCAGTTATACGTCATCAACCTAACCCCTCACTCAGCTTATTCACTGTTCAAACACTTGTCTATGTCTTTGTTACTTCTGGATGTGACTGTTGAAATGGTTTTTAATAAAAAAAAGTGGAAACTATATGTATATTTACATTCCAAAAGCTTTAAAAAATAAACACAAATATATTACTCACACCCAGCAAGTGCCATTCAGCTGCAATGTTGAATAGTGCCTTCCTTGTCCAAAATTAATATGTGAATATTACTGCCAAAATAACATCACGGCTGATAATGCACTCCACTGTATAAGTGAAAATGCCACAGCAACCCCAGAAGAGGGCAGATGCACAACAAAGCACGGCCAACAAAATGTTGCTGTTTGCGATGTTCCATGCTGCACAAAATCAGCTTCTTGTTATCTGACTCCGCATTCAAATACTGAGCCATTGCCCCATAGACAAGCTCACCATAAAAATAAATCTAGCTACGTGTAAATACCCTATAGTAATTAGCGTTCATTAACACCAGTCAGCCTCTCCAGTACTGAAAATTAACTAATACAAATATGGAGCCTCAAACTTCTTTAGAATTTGGTTGTTGGATGTCATGAAAAATTGAAATGTAAAAACATTAGTCATTTTTACTTTTTGTCATTTTTTTCCCTTATTGTTCTACCCTAATCTAATCTTTCCTTCCCTCTTTTTATTTTTCTCCCTGCACCTCAGTTGACATTGAATCTACCATCTTGGCCACAGAAGGGGAGCAAGTGGCTGAAGCAGGAATGATCATGGCTGGAGCTGTGTTGGAGACTGTGGTCAGAGAGAGGCCACGGCTAGCAGGTGAGAGTCATGGGATGAAATGTCATTCAGGCAAAAAATGTTGATGAGTGTTTAGTGGTGGTGGGGGTTGATGCTGGAGATTGTAGTGAGGCAGAGAAAGAGCTCAATCGAGGAGAGGTTGTGTGTAGGTTTAGATTACAGATGGCAGGGCTCATGGTAAATGAAAAGGGGGACGTTTTAGTGGAAGATTAGGATGGCTGCAGTTGTACCTTTGCTGAGAATGGAGGAGATGCATCTGTTCCTTCTAGGGTAAAAACTATACTCTAAATGTATCTGGACCCTGACACCCCCTTTTCCCCATTAGATTTTTTTCCTACCCAGTTGGCCTTGCTGGGGGGATGAAACAAAAAACGCCTGTTAAAATGGAAGCACACAGATTCCAAAAAAGATTTTACCTGCTGATCCTTGTTCTCTAAGCAGATTAGTTGTCCAGTGATTTTTGAACTGGAGGAAGGCTTGTTGTGGAGTTTCCCAGAAGTCATTGGTGCAACGTTTGCTTTTCCTTTAATGACACAGGCCTTGGTGTAAAGAGAACTAATTTCAGAATTTTCCGATTCTGTGAAATTTGGAAGCAATGTGAGCTGTGAAGAAGAGTGTCCAAAAACAAATCTGTGAATTTTTGCAGCTCGCCCACCACCATATGTGAAGGTCAGGAGAAAGGTGCATTAAATAAAATAAGTTACCAACCTGCCACCTCCCAGTCCACTCCCAGACCTGAAGGGCAGTGTAGTGATTGGAACGAGCTCAGCCAGTGGACCTTATATGTCAGGTGGACTTTATAGAATATGAGGTTCCCTGATTGGGTTGTTATTCTGGTCCAGTAAGGGAATCCTGGTTGACAGGTATAAACAGGAGTGTTAGAGGTTCTGTTCATTCTAGGAACCAGCTTTGAGATAGCTGGGTCAGGGTCATGTACTATCCTTGTGTAACAAAGGGTGAGTTGGTGACAAGATCTTTGCCTTTGTGGAGTTATTTCAGACAGGTTTGGCCCATATCCCTCCAAACCTTTCCTATTCAAGTATGTATCCAAATGTCTTTTAAATGTTGTAACCATATGTGCATCAATCACTTCCTCTGGCAGTTCGTTCCACACGCTAAACCCTATGTGTGTAAAGAAAGTTGCCAGTCATCCTTTTTAAATCTTTCTCCTCTCATCTTAAAAATACGTCCCCCAGCTTTGAATTCCCCCACCTTAGGGAAAATACCTTTGCTATTCACCTTGTCTATGCCCCCCATGATTTTATAAACTTCTATAAGGTTACCCCTCAACTTCTAGGTAGGTGGGACTAGTTTAGTTTGAGAACGTCATCATCATGGACAAGTTGGACCAAAGGGTCTGTTTCTATGCTGTATGATCTCATGAATTGCCTAAGAAGATTTACTCATTCAGAGAGCTGGCACAGACACAACAGGCCAAATGGCCTCCTTTTGTACTGTAACAGTTCTGTGATTCTCTGCTCCCGTTCTTTAATAAAACAAGATGTAGGTGGGTTTGAAATTATACCAAGTGTACCATATGTCATTTTTATTAGACATTTTGTTTTGAATTGTGATCAAAAACATTGGGTGAATGAAATTAAAATGAATTAAAAACAGGCTTGCATTCAAAGTGATTTTATTAACTGAATCAGAAACAGAAATTGCTGGAAAAGTTCAGCAGATCGAGCAGCACCTGTGGAAAGAAATCAGAGTTAACGCTTCAGGTCGAGTGACCCTTCCTGTTCAGAGGAGGAGTCATTCAACCCGAAACGCTAACTCCGATTTCTCTCCACAGATGCTGCCAGACCTGCCGAGCTTTTCTATCAATTTCTGTTCTTGTTCCTGATTTACACCATTTGTAGTTCTTTTGGATTTTATTAATTGAATACTTTATTTGTAATCTGCATTCCAGCTCATTATTTCTGTAACTTTGATTCTTATGAACTGTGATATCTGCAGTAGAACACAAACATCTTAGCTGTTTTACTCTAACTCAGTAGCCTGGATTCGACTGTGATATGGATATCAAAAGCCAGCATTGCCATTGTTACTTCACTGAAGCTAATAGAAACTTTGAGATTCAGGCACACCCAAGGCAATGTAAGTATCCAAATGTTACTGTCATTGAGCTTATACTTCTCTATGGGATGTCATGTCAAGGTTTCCATATACTTCTGTCTCCATTACAATAACATATTGATGAGATCTTGATGCATTTATGAGCCCATAAGTTTCACACTAAATACCCTTGAAAAGTTACACCTTGTTGAATAAAGTATAATTGGGTTTTTTACTACCTTAACCTTTACTACCTAACCCCAACTCCACACTGAGCCTAAAGACTACTTGTAGAACATCAATTCCTTCACATTGATTAAAAGTATCACATTTTCTTTTAACTTTTGTCTATTTTACCTTCAATTTCAGCAAAATTAATGTATGACTAGATTATCTTGAAATTTGTATGAAAAAGGAGAAGCTTAAATGTTTTTACCTTTCAGGTTTGTTGTGTGTGCATTTTTAAATTTGATTTGCTACTTACCATGTCTTCTTGTTTACACGATGAGGACATCATCAATGAAGCTAGTGCAACTGCCTTCCTTACCTAGTCTGGCCTATCTGTGATTCCAGGGTTAAAGTTGTGGTGGTGGTTGATGATGAGGTTGGCTCTGAAGTCCCCTATGAAGTGACCAAGCAAGCCATTCAGTTGAAGCAACCACATAAAATTAAAAAAAGGAATGGAACTGAATGAATCACCTAGCATTAACCCAAGCATGGTAAACAGCCCTGATGACCTTGCAAAGTTCTCCTTTCTAACATTTGGGGGCTAATGCCAAATTGGGAGAGCTGTCTCACAGACTAGTCAAGCAACAATCTGACTCAGGGAATCATACCCGACAGACAATATCCTAGACACCACCATCACATTGATTAAAAGTATCACAGGTTTTCAGCAGGACAAGCTCAGCAAAAGTGGCAGCACAGTCAGGAGAGAGCACCCCTAGTTGTCCTGAACGTTGACTCTGGACCTCATGAAGTGTCATGGCATCAGGTCAAACATGGGCAAGGAAACCTCGTCCTGATTAGCAAGTACCATCCTTCTGCGGCTGATGAATCAGTACTTTTCCATGTTATACAGAACTTCAAGGAAGTACTGAGGGTGGCAAGGGCACAGAATCTGCTCTGGGTGGAGAATTTCAATGTCCACCACCAAGAGCAGGTCCAAGCAGTAACATTACTGATCGAGCTGGTCAGATCTTAAAGAACATACCTGCTACACTGGGTCTGTGACAGGTGGTGAGAGAACCAATAAGAGGGAAAAACATGCTCGACCTCATCCTTACCAATTTGCCTGCTGCAGATACATCAGTCCATGATAGTATCAGTAAGAGTGACTACCGCACAGCCCTTGTGGTGAAGTCTTACCATCAGATCGAAAATACTCTCCATTGCGTTGTGTGATACCATCACTGTGTTAAATGGGACAGATTTCAAACAGATCTAGCAACTCTAGACTGCGTATCCATGAAATCATTAGCAGCAGCTGAACTGTACTCCAGTTCAATCTGCAATCTCATGGCCCAGCGTATCCTCCACTCTACTATTACAATCAACCCTGTTTCAAGGAAGAGTGCAGGAGAGCACATCGGAAGCAATGATCAGGCATAACTAAAAATGAATCATAGAGTCATTCAGCATGGAAACAGATCCTTTATCTAACTCATCTTTGTCAACCAGGTTTCCCAAACTAATCTAATCCCATCTGCCTGTGTTTGGCCCATATCCCTCTAAACCTTTCCTATTCACTTACCTGTCCAAATGTTTTTCAAACATTGTCAGTGAAGCTACAAAACAAGACTACATACATGCTAAACTGCATAAGGAGCAAGTGAGAGACAGAGTTAAACGATCCTACAACCAATGGATCAGATCTATGTTCTGCAGTATTTCCACATCTAGTCATGAATGAAGTTGGACAATTAAACAACTCACTAGAGGAGGAGGCTCCACAAACATCTCATCCTCAACAACAGGGGAGCACAGAACAACGGTGGAAGATGCAAAATGATAAAAGCTAAAGCATTCATAACCATGTTTTGCCAGAAATGCTGAGTATACCTACTCCAAATGGACTGCAGCGATTCAAGGAGGAAGCCTACCGCTACCACTTCAAGGGCAACTAGGGATGGGTGACAAGTGCTGGCCCAGCCGGTAATGCCCACATCCCGACATCTTTTGAGCGAAGTTTAAAAATTATCCTTGAGAAGGTGGAGGTAGGCTGAGTTCCTGAGGTGTTGCAGCCCTTAGAGTATAGGTATACCCACAGTGTGGTTACAAAAGAAATTCCAAGAATCTGATTCAGTGACATTAAAGGACTAATAGTACATTTCTAAGAGCTGTTTAGCTGGGAGGGGAACTTGCAGGTGGTGGTGCTCCCCTGTATCAACAATCCTTGTTCTTCTAGATGACTGAAATTATATTTGGATGGTACTTGCTGATATCATTGTTGATAGCACCAAGACATTCTCTTGACTTGGAGCCAGATTGAAGTTAGGAGAAGACCATAAGATATAGGAATTGAGTTAGGCCATTTGGCCTATCAAGTCTGCTCTGCCATTCAATCATGGCTAATATATTTCTCAACCCCAATCTCCTGCGTTCTCCCTGTAATCTTTGATCTTCTTACCAATCAAAAACCTATCTATCTCTGTCTTACTTATGCTCAATGACTTGGCCTCCGCAGCCCTCTGTGGCAATGAATTCCACAGATTAACATTCTCTGGCTGAAGAAGTTCTTCCTCATCTTAATTATAAAGGGTTGTCCTTTCACTCTGACGCTGTGCCCTTGGTCCTAGTCTCTCTTACTAACGGCACCATCTTCTCCACATCCACTCTATCCAAGCCTCTCAGTATCCTGTGTGTTCCAATCAGAATCCACTGTCATCCTTTTAAACTCCATCAGGTACAGAATCAGAGGCCTCATCCACTCTTCATAATGACAAGCCCTTCATCCCTGGGTTCATTCTTGTAAACTATGCCACAGAGGTCATCAGACTGTCCAGGGCAGCTTCAAGATCAGTTACAAGTACACTTGTTTTGCCTCTGACCACAAAATTCTGGTTGATATTACTTCCTATTGTACTATTATCTAGGGTTCAGCTGGCAACACTCCATTCTCTGAATCAGAAAGTTATGGGCTTAATTCCCTCTCTAGACTTAAGTAGAAAACCAGCCTCAGTCTCTAATACTGTACTGAATGAGGACTGTGCCATCTTTCAGATAAGATGCTGCCAGCCTGGTTGCCTCCTGTGAGAATGCAAAAGATCCTATGGGACTAGTTCAAAGAAGAACAGAGAATTTGAGTACTGTTGAAAGAAGAGATATGCTGTTGAATCTTTGTCTCTTGTATTCATATGAAAGGTACAAATATATCACATTTCAAATGAAATAATAAATTAACTGCATGAAGAAAAAGGACTGATTAATTGGTAAATGATCTCTGGTTAAGGTGTTGTCATGAATAATGCACCAAGGAACAATTATTTCACAAGCTATTGTTTAAATTCCAAAGAAGGCAAGTTGACTCTGATTGGCTGAGATATCACTATGGGAAATGCACCAAGGAACAAATGTCCCATAGATTTTGTTGAATTGAGAAAAGCACAATGCCTGAATACATTCTTTTTGTTCACAGAACTATTTTTGGTATCACAACTCATGAATTCATGCACTACATTTATTTACTTGTGTGGTTTTGTAGGCTGTACATCCTAATGACTGAAGGTTTGTATCAAACATCATATCTATTCAGCTATTCACAACAAGCAGAATACTAGCTGTAACAGTTCTGTAATATTAGTTTTACACTCACCCAGCCCATGCTTGCAAAACTCAGAACAGTGTGTCCAGCATTAGAATTGATTCCACCATTAGACAGCGTGTACTGAACAACCCCTAGAGTGCCAAAAATTACACTAACAACCAAATCATTTCATCAGTAAGCTCACATGCTCTTACATAAAGACACATATGCAGGGTTGTCCTGTGTGACCCATAAGAGTTCCAGAATTATAAGCTATAAGAATCTGCAATTTACTGAATGGCAGTTGTGTACTATGCATATAATACAAAATATTAATGGAAATAAACTAATTGTTTATGGAATGTCTTGGTATTGTATAAAATATTGGGCTGAATTTTACCAGAAATCAGAGCAATTTTGATGGATTTCATGGACTATTTTCTGTGAGCCTGAGTGCGTTTATCTCTGTGAGCCCCAGCAGGATTCTCATACTCTTTTACCAAAACTCACCTCATCACCTGTGCACTTTGCCTCTATGGTGATAAAAAGTACCCATCCACACTATTGCATGTAACATATTCCCTCACTTGCTTTCACTCATCGAATTCACAAACTACTAATCTTGCATGCTTCTATGCTGTCTACTCACTCAGTCAGGACATCCACTACTCTTCCTTCACCTGCACCAACACTAAGAGCTGCTTTTGTCTTTTTTAATCTTTCAATTTATCTCATTCGAGGAGAAAATGGCTCACATTATGGCAGAGAGAGCCAAGAGGTGTGCTTGACACTTGTCTCCTGACATCCTGCTAGGAGGGGGCCCTTACTTTAACTGGAGAGTAGTGCTGACAGTTCCTTGTTCCAGTACCTAAGTAAGTATAATTCCACTGCTGTGCTGCTCTCCCATTACTGAGTATGTAAATGTTTTCTTGATGTGCTTGAACCTCTAATCCTTTTCTTATGACTCAGCTTCTCTTTCATCTCCTGTAGGCACTTGTGGAAACTGCACAGTCTCCATCATCAAGAAGGCCAAACCAGAAGACATTTCCTGCCTCCCTTTTGAGGAAGAATCCACAGATCTGTTATAGGAAGCACTGGCAAGGCTGCTTCCTGTACCCTCCACCAGCTCAGATACTGACACCTTAGTGGACGTTTTAATTGGATTAGTCAGGAGCACATTCTGATTAGCACATCACTGCCACATCTGCACAGCTGGTTGAGAAAGAAACATCGTAGGTTTGGCACTTGGAAGACTACCAGAGTCAAGGGAACTGGTCTGATACTGGCAAGTTAGGATCCATGGTATCGACAATTAACAACTAGTACAAATGCACAAGCAGCTAAAGGATTGGCAAATGCATTGGGCATGGTTGGATGATGACACCATAGCTGTTTGTGTTGCCTCTGGAATATGAGCATTTGGTTGCCACTATGGACAGGTGGCAGCTGCCATGAAGAACCAGTACATTCAAGGTCTGCTGAATATACACACAGGCCTGCACACCATTGCTGTAACCATTGGTGTTCAGCACCAAAGACAAAGCAACAAGAAAACAACAGACTATGACCGTGACCTTTTTCTTTAATAGAAGCCCCACAGTGAGCAAACAGGCCATTCAGCCCAACAAATCCAACAAGATCCTCTGAAGAGCATCCCACCCAGACCCATCCCCCTACCCTTTCCCTGTAACCCTGCATTTTCCATGGATAATGCACTAACCTACACATCTCTGAACACAAAGGATAATTTTTAGCCTAGCCAATCCATCTAACTTGCACATCTTTGGACTGTGGGAGGAAACCGGAGCACCCGGTGGAAACCCACATGGACATGGGGAGAACATGCAAACTCCACACAGACAGTTACCAGAGAGCGGAATGGAACCTGGGTCCCTGGTGCTGTGAACCAGCAGTGCTAACCACTGAGTCACCATGCTGACCTTTCTCCAGGTGTCCTTTCCTCACAAGGAAAAAGGGAGATGCTAGTAAGCATCTACACAGGGGAGGCAACACATACAGATCCATCAGAAGTCTCTTCTCCTGATAGCACAGCTGGGCCTTCCATCTGATTTGATTTGATTTGATTTATTACTGTCATATCTACCTAAGTACAGTGAGAAGTTTTGCTTTGCATGCAGTACAGAGAGATCA